ATTGGCTGGTTATGCATGCTAAATTGCTAATAACGTTCAGATGAAAGTATGTATTTTTACCTTTTTACGTATTCTATTCGTCCTATTTTGTTTGTCTTAATTATTCAGTTAAGGAAGTTTGTTGAAATTATTTTTAATTCAAATTTTTGTAATATTAAATTTAATATTAATATATATAAAATTAATATATTTAGAAACTAAAAATTAAATTTAAAAATAAATAAATATTACTAAAATGGAACATATGGAATATATAATATAACCATATTGTAATAATACTTAATTATTTATCAATGATCAATATTTGTCTATGCTCTTATATATGCAAGATGTAATGAATTATATGAGTTAATTAAATAATTATAAAATTGAGTATGCCTATTATTACTCTGTCCACTTGACAGAGTGCAGTAATGTCCGACAAGTTGACAGAGTCATAACTCTCTGTTCTGCAACTGCCCATGACTCTACCCACGGATGGAGCAACGGAAACCCACAGAGCGTGGATAAATCTCGATTTTTTTAAGGAATAAGATTTAAATTAACGACGGAACGTAACATGAAAATGTAATTAAGTTATTGAACAAAAAAAACTGTAATTAAGTCACTGAACATTCCGAAAACAAGTAATTAGATATTGAATATTTTAAGTGTATACAATTTCACCGGATAACAGGTTACATGCTTACGAGATTATTGAGTTGGCATTTAATCGGTGGCCACCCCGTCGTTTTTTTTAATTATTATTAAAATTTATTAAAAATGTAAATTCAGCTGCCACGTAAACTGGTAACCTGCTAAAATTGATGGTAATATGCTATTTGGTGAAATTGCATACATTTGAATTGTTCAATGACTTAATTGCACTTTTGTTTCGTTCAGTGATCTAATTGTATTTTTCACGTTACGTTCAGTGGTCAATTTGAACCTTATCCCTTTTTTTAATAATGATTTTTGTATTATTTAAACAAAATAAGAAAATACTTGATCTACTCCCATTTTAAATCTCAACTTATACTCCATCTTACATGTTTTTGATGTAAACATTTTTTTTGTGGACTCACATGATGAAAATAATCAATCTTGATTTGACACCTCAAAAATTATAAATGAAGGAGTAGAATTTTTGAACACTGTGTAATAGAACTCAACAAAATACGGAGTAGTTCTTTGTTTTACCCACAGATGGGGCAACGGAACGTCGGAACCCCACAGTTTTCACTTTTTGTTTTTCCGTAAAAAAATATCGTAATTCTTTCTTTTTTCTCTCAATTATTTATATCTTATTCTCAAAATCAGTAATATTGGCCGCCGACCACTACCCCCAAATTATCATAAACCAACAATACCAATAGCCATTTTTAATCTTCCTAATCGATCGATAATATTTATATATAACTGATCAAAATCGAAGTTTAATTTTCGAATAATAACGTTGGTTACCAGAAAATTGAATGCCATAACTCATCTAAAATATTTTATTGGGTTGAATAATGAATTTGACTCAGCTAAACTCTAAATAACCCATATATATTATTGGTTATTTGGTAACTGTGTTTATTGATTGTCCATAACCGATTCATTGAATAACCATTTTTTGAAAATAATAACCGATAATTGAAATTGTTAATCATTTTAACTATCAATAATCGATTTCATCAATTTTCGATAAGTATGTTCGTCCCTAAAAGATATAATAGCACGAAAGTTTGGATAATGTTATATATAACTACATTGGTAAAAAATTGACATATAGGCCAATTTTGGCTTATTTGACCACTATTAATTATTTGATTTAGTTAAAATATCAATACAAGTGTTTGGTTAATTAACTTTTTGCAACTCAAAAATGTTAAAATTCAAAAAATTACTCCAAGCAATTTTTTCAATTATCTTTTTCAGAAAAGAAATTATACCAAAAAAACTATCAGCTAACATCTAATTTACCAAATATTTTTCTACAATCAGCTAATGTTATCAACTAGTTATACCTTATAATTAACACAATCAGCTAACAACTAAAATCCATTTACCAAACATGGCCTATATGTTTTTGGAGAAAAAAATAGTCAAATATGCCCATAAATTTTACTAAAAAAGTCAATTATGCTCTTAAACATTCAAATATTGCAATGAAACACACAAACATGTTTTTTGAAGCATTTAAGCCCAAAAACTGACTGGTAACCTGTAATTTACAGGTTATCTAGATTTTAGGAACATTTCAAACACTTTATAGCATTAATTACTGGCAAATGGGTACCGAACGGTCACCGATCACGTTTGGAGGAGGCGACCAATTGTGCATTCTCATTTGCTTGCGAAGGCGAGTAAGTTAGTCATTGAATCAATCGCTCAATACGCATGTAAAATTAGTTGTAACAATAACATTCGTTAATCTCTAATAACAAACGATAGTCAGACACAACTCTTATATAATCCCAAATTAAATCTGTATTTAAACTCTATCATGATGATGAAAATCAACGGTCACTAATCGAATGTACACACACAATAAATCTCGTATTTTGAAAGTCAAATTTATAATATTATAGTTACCTAGTTAATCGCCTAATCAAATTGGTTGGAGTTGTTTCCATGTTTAGTAATTATATATTTATTAATTTCTTAATTTAAATCGGTCAATTATGAACCATCTAAATTTATACATTTTTACCTATTACAATCACAAGATAGATTCCAATTAAAACGCACGGACAAATTTCGGCTCCAAGTTAAATCAAAGGTAGTTATATTGTCTCAAGATGCGTGCGAACGAGAAATTCACGTGATTATTATGACAATGGAAGTTTCACAAAGAATTAAGATAAAAAGGAAGCAAAAAAGTAACATGATGAACGATAGAATGAGTTCCCGCCAGTCACGCGGGTCTCGTCCTCCTCCAAAACGACGGTTTCCCTTCAATCTTCCTTAAATTTCACATTACATTTAATACTGAAATTTTGTAAACCCCCCGCCGAATCTTTTTCCGATTCCTTTCAATCCCTCATTCTCTTCTCAATCCGTCCCATTTCAGATCCGTAAGTTTTTTTTTTTCTCCTTTCGTTCTCATATCGAACGCCTGTACGCATGACGTGAACAAACATTTTTTGAGGATAAATTAAGTCTTTTCTTTCCGCATTTGAATGTGCAATTATTTGTTCGTCATTATACTTTAATTTTTGTGTATTCCAAGTGTGGATTGGCGTTATACTGTTTGAAGATTGCCAGCCTGAAGCATTATCACTGTGGGATAATATTGCGTCTTTTTTAAGATTAGTTTTTTGAAGCACGATTCATTGGTATTGATTTTAGTTTTACTCTGTTTTCCAATCATTTGATGATTTACTTTAAGTGTTTTTTTTTTTTTTTTTTTTTTTTAGTGGTGATTGAATTTAGTGAAATGATGATGATGATGATGAGCCTATCCATATGCATTTGGAAAAAAAAAAAAGGCTTTATGGATCTCTGTATGTATGTGTCAGTTTTTCATTACATTTCAGGTTGCTTTTTTCACTACTGTGTAATCACTGATATGAAACTAAAAGAATGTGGAAGAGTTGCATGGAACTATATCGCTTGATGGAAATAAAAAAAAAATTATCATGAGCCACTTGCGGTTTAAAATTTCGAATCAAGTCCCTGGTTGTTTAAAACAACCACTCTCAAACTGGATTTTGTCATGTGTTGGATCAGTACTACACAATCTCTTACCAAAAAGAAAAATCAACATCTGTAAGAGTTCTGGCTAAAAGACTTAAAATGCTTTTCACTACAGAATAGCTTTTGTGCTATGTGTGGATGGGTAGAAAGTGAGGGTCAACAAAATGGGAGAGAAGATAAGAGGAATGGGAAAACAGAAAAGAAAATTTGTACTTAGATGAGAAGAAAGGAAATGAGTGTGTTGGGGTGGGTGTGGGGTTGAGAGATATGTTTCCGTGTATAGTGCTTGTTGAGAAATGGAGTGCTAATTTGAACCTCATTTTCTTCACATGCTGGGCAAGAAAGATATCTGACAGGATGGAGGACAATCTCTCCTCAAACCTTTCCTTTTTTTTTTTTTTTTTCCCTGATTGAATTGAATGACCTTTTAAATTTGGGATAAATCTTTTATGCTTTCCTTTTCTCAATTTTTTTTGTTGTTGACATTTTGCTTCAAGCTAAACTTACGTTTTCTTATCATCATTGCAGACTACTTCTAAAGTCCCAAATTTTGTTACCATTAACTATTTTGCCATTATAGTATTTATCTGAAAGTTATGCTACTTTGGAGTTTACATACTGATCATGGAAAAGTTAGATACCCCTGAGAGAAGTGCAGCCTTTGTTCAAGCCACTGTAATGGAAGGAGATGAACATGATGTTGATACTAAAACCCAGGAAAATAAAGTTTCTGATCAGATAAATTCGGTTAGTAGCATGAATACTGAAGTGCAACATGGAAATGCACTCAATGCCCCATTAGATGACAAGGAAATTGGAAATTCTTCACCAAGCTATCCAATGGAGAAGATTTTGGTTGATGGCCATGGTGGACAAGTAGGAGAGAACTCTTTAGGAGAAAAAAATTCAAATTTTCAATCTGTTGGGAAGAATGTTATTTCTGAGTTGCAAGAAGGGAACTCTGAGACTAAGGCACATTCACCATCAGAAAAGATGGAAGGAGAGAACTCTTTAGGAGAAAAAAATTCAAATTTTCAATCTGTTGGGAAGAATGTTATTTCTGAGTTGCAAGAAGGGAACTCTGAGACTAAGGCACATTCACCATCAGAAAAGATGGAAGGAGAGAACTCTTTAGGAGAAAAAAATTCAAATTTTCAATCTGTTGGGAAGAATGTTATTTCTGAGTTGCAAGAAGGGAACTCTGAGACTAAGGCACATTCACCATCAGAAAAGATGGAAGGAGAGAACTCTTTAGGAGAAAAAAATTCAAATTTTCAATCTGTTGGGAAGAATGTTATTTCTGAGTTGCAAGAAGGAAACTCTGAGAATAAGGCACATTCACCATCAGAAAAGATGGAAGGAGAGAACTCTTTAGGAGAAAAAAATTCAAATTTTCAATCTGTTGGGAAGAATGTTATTTCTGAGTTGCAAGAAGGGAACTCTGAGACTAAGGCACATTCACCATCAGAAAAGATGGAAGGAGAGGTCAGTGTTCATAGAGAAGAAGAAGTTCAATTGCCAAAAGAGAATAAACCATTGAACACGAGTGAAAAGATTTCTGGGCAGGCACTCGGTACAGATGAGTTAAATGGAAGAAGGGTTGTTGGAGAGGATGAGGATTCTGGAAATCCCAGGGAAACAAACAAGAGCCTCGAAGGCAATCTTTATGAGAAGGATAAGATAGTAGAGCCTGTCCCTAATGGAGCAGAGGCTCCCAAACCAGAAGTCAATAGGAGTTCATCAATTCATTCCCCTGGTCAAGACTTGGGGCAACAGGGATCTTTGCCTGAAAAGGCAGGATCTGTAAAGCATTTTTTAAAGCTGAAGAGTGCAATTGCAGTTGCTAGTGTTTTTCGTCGCCTTTCTGGGAAAAGCAATGATGGACAAGATGCTCTGGGTGCAGATGAGAATAGTAGGAATTGCAGCAGTTCTAAGGAGGTTAGACCTACTTCCATTGAAACTGAGCATCAAGATGTCTCTCAGAAAAATAGAGATCAATCTGGATGGAGTGCCCTTAGATTAATTGGGATATTTAATGATGATGACAATGCTGATGACAAAGTTGGAGAGAAAGAAAAGGCCATAGAAGAAGCACTCCAACCAGTAGCGATGAAAGGACAGATTTTGTTGTACACAAGGTTTGATTGCAACGACTGTAAGCAGTTAAGAAAGTTTCTATACAATAAAAGACTTCGATATATTGAAATCAATATTGATGTGTACCCAAGTAGAAAGCTGGAACTGGAGAAGATTGCTGGCTCCTCTGATGTTCCTAGAGTGTTCTTTAATGAAGTGCTTATAGGTGGATTGAGTGAAATAAGAAGCTTAGATGTGTCTGGGAATCTTGCTGAGAAGATTGAATATGTTGTTAGTGAGACACCATCCTCTAAAGCACCTTTACCCCCTCTTTCAGGTGAAGATGACTTGTCCAGTAGTGGTTCTATTGATGAGCTAGCACTTATTGTTAGAAAAATGAAAGACTCTATTCCTGTAAGTGACCGCTTTTACAAAATGCGGAGATTCACCAAGTGTTTTCTGGGATCAGAAGCAGTAGATTTCCTGTCAGAAGATCAATACTTGGAAAGGGAAGAGGTTAGTCCTACTTCATACCATATAATGGTAAACGTATGTAGTTATTTCTGAAGTAAAATCCATGTTTCTTAATTACTTTACATCCCTTTCTCTGGTGCCTTGGTTACATAATTAGAAGGAGCTATTGCCAGTTAGCTTGAGAATTACAGACTGGGTAGTCTATATTATAAAGCTTAGTTTGGAAACAAAAGCTTGTGGTGTCTGCTACATGATTTACTGATCTAATAATGTATTGAATTTTTCCTCATTTGTGTTTTTCGGGCAATTCACCAATAAAAGAATAGAGTGCTGTACAACTGTATAGTGGTGTTTACAATTGAATTGATATCTTTCTAGTTTGTCAGTAAGATGTAAGTTTTACTCAATGAGCATTGCTGATGCTATCTGGTTGGCTTTAATAAAATTCCTATAACAGTTACCCTTGTGCAATTTGCTTGTCCTCTTCTATTCAGACTATTTTTGTGGACACTCTGCAATAGAGCCACCTCATGACACCGAGCAACTGCGTCATAAAGGGTTTGGGAAAATAAGATATATGTAACTTTAACTTTATTCTCAGTGTGCTGCTTTCCACGGTCTGAATCTATGACCTATTGGTCAATGAGTGAGCACATGGCTGTTAGACTTGCATAATCTATTAAAATTTAATCCCATCTCCGATTTTCTTCTTTTGGAATAATTATCTCCAACTTGTTTGAGGTATTTAAAATATATCCGTTTTAATGTTTTCGTCTGCTAATGCTACATTTTACCTTGTTGTGATCATGGACATAATTTCTATGCTTGAATATGGTTGTCACTTTTGTCCCTACATCATACTTAAAAAATGATATTTTCTCAGAAACACTATTTTCTATTCTAATATCCTCTGCTGCATAGGTGCATTTGGTAATTCCGTTTTCAAGCTAACAAGTTATACTCTTTGAGGAAGTAAAGTTATTATTATCTTGGTAAAAAAAATAAATACCTGTGTTTGAAGAGGAGGGAGTGTACTGTGTAAAATATACTCTGTGAAACTTTATGCCTCTTGTTGTGGTAGGTGATTAAATCTCAATAACAATGACTAGTATGAATGGTTCAGCTTCACAAAGAAAAGCTATAGTATGGAGGAAATGGAAGAATGAATATTAGTTTAGTTTTCTTCTCATTCCAGTATGATTTGATAACCTTTCCTCTATTGTTATTGTGATCGGAGTAGGCTATTGAATTTGGTCGGAAACTGGCAAGCAACCTTTTCTTCCACCATGTACTTGAGTAAGTTTCTGAAAAGTGTGTTTTCTCTTTAGACTTGTGCTTACACTTTCCACCTTCTGCCTAATTGTATGCTATGCTTTGTTTTTGGTGTTTGTTTATGCTACAGTGAGAATTTATTTGAAGATGGCAACCACCTGTACTGTTTCCTTGATGATGATCCTTTGGTATCTCAATGCCAGAACATTCCTAGGGGCATAATTGAAGTGAAGCCAAAACCCATAGTAGAAATTTCATCCAGACTTAGATTCTTATCTTATGCAATTTTTGAAGCTTACACGTCAGAAGATAGGAGGCATGTTGACTATAGAACCATCCATGGGAGTGAGGAATTTGCAAGGTCTGTTTATTGTTCTAAGTGTGTAATTGTTTTATGGTGTATGGGTAGATTCTTTCATTGCCTTTGAGACATTATTGAAGTAAGTCAAGGGCACCCCACTCAATCCCTGGGCAAAGAAATAAATTCGTGCACATATTTGTAGCCTGTATATGTATTCTTGGTACAAATGCTTCTTTATTTACTGAAAGAAACTTTTCCAGGTACTTGAGGATCGTAGAGGAGCTTCAGAGAGTAGATTTGTCTAATATGTCAAGAGAGGAAAAGCTTGCATTCTTTATTAATCTCTACAATATGATGACCATTCATGCAATACTAGTAATGGGGCATCCCTCTGGAGCACTGCAGAGAAGGAGATTGAGTGTGGATTTCAAATATGTAATTGGTGGGTGTACATATTCACTTTCAGAAATTCACAATGGTGTCTTGAGGGGCAACCAGAGGCCGCCTTACAATCTAGTTAAGCCATTTGGGGCTAAAGATACGCGTTCTATGGTCAGATTCTTAATCTCAATCCTATGTAGACTTAATCAATATAATATAATTGCATAATGTAAGATCTAATTGTAATCTTGTTTATCTGGTATTTACATATGAAACATATTTTTTATTCCTTATGCCTGCCTAGTTCTATGAATTCTTGTGACTTGTGTGCTGATATTGTAGTTGTGTAAACTTATAAGTCACCTCTTTTTTCATGAATGTATTGGATAAAATTTAAGAACCAGGTCTGTCGATTGTTGCCTAGTATGCTACAGTATTATTGCAGTATGCTTCATAGGCATCATCATCTCACTAAATTTTAAGGTTAAGTATTGTGCACTAGCAAAGTTCTTACATATATGCTCACTGTTAGGTCTAGGGTTTAAACCCTTGTAACATTGACAAAAGGCAAAGAAAGGGTTAAGCATCTAAATGATTGATGCCATTTAGATGCTGGAGCATTGTGCCTTGGATTCACCTTTTAGTAACTGGAAATTTTTAAATAAAAAAGATCACTGATTTTAAATTTAACTCAGCTGTAATTGTAGAAAAATACTATGTGATCCATTGATATCCTCAAAAGAGTGTCTATATATGCTGTCTTTAATTCTTTATGACAAACTGCAATATTACTTCAATATTAAATGGAGTACTATTTTTATTCTTATGGGTAATCTAGTAAACATCTGAAAATAATGAAAAATTGATTGTTCTCTAGGCCATTTTGATCTTTTAACTTTGTAGTGTCATTTTCTGGAACATGGATTTAGCTTGATTCAATGTTGAAACCCTGTAGCCTCTACTCACTATTCTGTTTGACTGACCTTACTTCTCACTTGATTCTTCAGATTGCTCTTCCTTATCCTGAGCCTCTAATTCATTTTGCTCTTGTTGGGGGTACACGATCTGGGCCTGCTCTCCAATGCTATTCACCAGGAAATATAGACAAAGAATTGATGGATGCTGCCCATAATTTCCTAAGAAGTGGATTAATTGTTGATGTGCTTGCAAAGGTTGCATATGTTAGCAAGATTTTGAAATGGTAAGTTGTGGGTGAAGTTCTAAATCTCTTTCCTTTTTCATGTCCAAGAGAAAAACTTGATCATTGGCCCACGCAAAACTTTATGAATACAAGCATGAGAAGTGCTATCTATACTCCATTATTCCGAACAAGTTGCTTTGAGCTTTTATTATTCTGTATTGTGAAATTAAGAGTTGCATACTATCATCCTAGAAGGAATGGTTAAGTGGGTAAAACATGATTCTTGATTTCTCGTACCTGAATGTTATGAGTTTAATTTTTGCCAGCATTCTTTCAGTCGAGCTCTTTGCACATACTATCTTCATGATTCTTTTCTAAGTGGGTTTACCTCTCTTGTGTGGGTTGCGGACTATTGCACAAGAATGCAAACTATCTTTCATGATTCCTCACATAACTGATCTTCCTCAGTCAGCTTGATGGATTACTTGGAATTTGAATTCAATTTCTACTAATTTATCTTTCACACTTAAACTGCTTTAGCATAGAAAGGTGAGTAAAGTGTATTTTCTGCATCATAAATACCTTGCTGAAATTTGTTGTCTGGTTTATCAAATCCTCAGGTACAGTGTAGATTTTGGGAAGAATGAACTTGAGGTCCTGAAACATGCTGCAAACTACTTGGAACCTGCAGAATCCCAATCTTTGTTAGAGTTGCTTTCCACCACCCAGTTGAATGTCATATATCAGCCCTTTGATTGGGGATTGAACCACTAGCCCTTATTGCCTTGGAACTTCATTTGCCATTTTGGTACTCCAAATGAAAACCTATATTGTACTTATGGAGTGGTTTATTTACATAGTCCTTGTGGAAAGAACTTTGATATCCTCATCACTAATATGAATTTAGATCTTGCATTTTCCAAATGTGAATGTACATCCTACGCAAATCAAATGTAAAAAGCTTTCGAATGATTAAAGTATCTCAATATCTCATAACTATAGTGAAATTTGTAAAGGTCACAAATTAATCCTACTACATAAATTATGATTCATTATTATAGATAAATGATCGATTATCTTTTAATAAAAATATTATGTCTAATTGTTACTTGAAACTTAAAAAAAAAAAAGCACATCTTTCCTATATGTTTTTCAATAATTTTTCTATTTCTTTTATAATAATTTTTATAAGCTTTTAATTTTTAGCAAAAAGTCAACTTCTATTTAAAGGTATACTCTAGTTGAAGTTGGTCTTATGATCTTAGTCGTCAAACTATAAACTAGACTTACCGAGAAGGTCAAAAGTATAGTTGTTAGAAAACACATAATAAAAAAGAATTACTTTATATTAGACATAATCTAACTTATCAACTAATTCAAAATAAGTTCATAACCTTTACTCTCTCGTAGGTCACAAACATTCGAGAGTCTGTAAATTTTCTGGGCAAGACCATAAATTTGTGATTCAAACTTAAAAAAAAATTATAAATATTACTTACATCTCATTTTTTATTCTCTATCACAAATTTTTAATGTAAAACACATTCTTTGGGACTTTATGATAAAAATAATCAATTTTTGTTTGGAGTAAAAGTGAGAGAATCAAATGTGAGAATACACGAAGTAGTACTCAAAAGAATATACTGAGTATTAAAAAGAAAACAAGAAGAACCGTAAAACCCTAGGTCCCTATAATGTCTCTCACTGATCTACGGAGTAACTCCCAGAAACAGGTTTAGTAGTGGATGATGACCCCACTTGCCTCAAAATCGTAGTGAAGGACCGCTGAAAGCCTGAGACTGTCTCTATATGGAGGTATAAAATCTCTTACCCATACCCATATTTGTATATCATAATTTTTTGCTTTGCTTTGCTTTGTTTTTGTCGTCTCTGAATTGCTGGAGATGATTTTGAAGCGTCTGTATTTCTATAATTTGTATCCTGTTTCGTTATTTAATAGCTCAAGTCTTTAATTAGTTCCGGTTGAAATTGTTTACTGAGAAAATCCTTGAGATTTTTAGTGTATTATTATTATTGTTGTTGTTATAATCATATCCATTTGGGTTTTTTTTGGGGGTGAGATTTGGGTGTAATATTCTTGTGCAATCCAAACTCTGGCTAGATACACTTTAATTGCCCAGTAGCCTCTGCTAGAAATTTATAATTTTTCTTGTATGTTTGTATTTCTATATATACACAGATTGATATAATTTAGAGCGACTTTCAGTAAGGTCTGAGTTCCACTTTGATTTTTCCCCCCTTGACAGATACTTGTATAGTTGTTATGCTTATAGGTGCTTTACGATCTATAGCATTGTATTCGAGAGGAGGGTTTTGTGACATTGGGCGGCCTATCATTGTTGGTAATAATACCATTGGCAATCAAGGCTGTTTTAGAACAATGAGAGAAGTTGGAATTGATGGTGGTTCTAGATTGTATGCTTCTGAATCTGACAGAGAGTCTTGTGTGCTACGACCAGTTTCTGTGAGCTCGGATAAGAAAGATACTTCCTCAAATGTTCAATCGACCCCGGAAATTGAAAAAAAGTATGTTCATCGAGTTTATGATGCAATTGCTCCCCATTTCAGTTCCACTAGGTTTGCCAAGTGGCCGAAAGTTTCTGCTTTCTTGAATTCATTGCCTGTGGGTTCACTTATTTTGGATGCGGGCTGTGGAAATGGCAAATATTTAGGGTTGAATCCAAATTGTTTATTTATTGGATGTGATATTAGTGCTCCACTTATCAATATATGTGCGGATAGGGGACACGAGGTGTTAGTTGCAGATGCTGTAAATCTGCCTTATCGAACTGGTTATGGCGATGCTGCAATTTCAATTGCTGTCCTACATCACTTAAGTACAGAAAATAGGAGGAGAAAAGCTGTAGAAGAACTAGTACGCATAGTTAAAAAGGGAGGCTTTGTATTGATTACAGTTTGGGCTAGGGAACAGGAAGATGGATCATTGGTTAACAAATGGACACCACTTACAGAGAAGTATTTGGAGGAATGGGTAGCACCAAGCAGTCCTCGGATTCGCAATCCTTCCTCTCCTCGGACTCTAGCAAGCATCCCGGAGACTGAGGAAAATGGCTCGGGAGTGAATAAATCAGCTGAAATTTCACATTCAGCAGTTCATGATAGAGGTCATTTGGATTCTGGAATTGAAAATGCTTCTATAGAGCAACAGGAATACTTTGTTCCTTGGCATTTACCTTATCATAGAGCTGAAGTAAGCGGGGCTTCTGCTTGTGCCCTCGCAAGTGGCCTGGCAAAGAAAGATGATAAAAAGGGTGCAGTTGTGTATAACAGATATTACCATGTTTTTAGTGAAGGTGAACTAGAAAGGTAATGCACTCTTTCTTCTCTTGTCTCAGTAAAACTTAAGTTTGCAGCAAAGTTTTACATTTTATATGTGTTTCATTTTCACTTTCTCCAGGTTGGTGTCTGGTTTGGATAATGCAGTCATTGTTGATAGATTCTATGATAAATCAAATTGGTGCATCATACTCGAGAAGACATCCTGATAAAGTGACACCATAAAATACGATGACAATAAGACTACATAGATGTGTTCCGAGATTAGGGTGATTGAACATCGTGCTAATCTTTGCTGGGGTTGAGAAGTCATTGCAGGCTTTTCAACCAAGACCAGCACATCCATACATTAGTCAATAAAACTACTGAAGGGGAGCTCTTTTTCTTATGGGAGACTTCTTTTATGCTTCTCTCCTTGCCTGTAATGTCTGAATGTACACTTCTCCCTCTTGTGATTTTGTGATCCATTTCAATTATCATGCACTCTGTATTGTTGGTTTGAAATTTTCTACAGATTATTTTAGTAGTTTGGCTTATGTTCTTCATAATCACTTGTATTTTGTTGGCAAATGAAGCTGACTTTCTAGAGTTTATCCATAGATTATTATTCTGAATTAATCTAGGTTGTTCATAGGTGACCAACTCAAACTCAAATTAAGAAAGGTTAAAAAATTTAAATTAAAAAAGTCAACAGCTATGGTTAAGTTAGCTTTGCCAATTCATGATTAGAATTTTGTTTATAAAATTCTCTTTATAATTTTATGAGTTCTTTAATATTTTATGAGATTAAAAAAATTCTTACATATCTCTAGAGTTATGTACATCATTTTGTTTGTCTAGTTCGATTAACAATGCTAGACTGAAGTTATATATATAAAACTAGTATTGTCTCGTGCGATGCACGGACTAAATATTAAAGATTTGTTTGTAATGTTAAAATAGGTAAAAATGTTTTTAATAATGGTATTTGAAGTACAGAAGAAGAAAACATGAACCACAATTTAATTGTTTAAAATTACATTTTTATTAAGTATATGACAAAATAATTATAATATTGTATTTACAATATTTAATTTAATAATTGAAAATAGTATGATACAAAAAGTTACTATTATTAATCGCAGCTAGTAGTATACATATTTGATCTTGAGTATGGCTCTGTTTGGCAAACATAGCTGAAAAGCTATAAGCTATGAGCTGAAAGCTGAAAAGCTATAAGTTCGGAGCTGAAAACTGAAGAGCTGTTAAGCTAGCTGTTATGATTGAAAGTGTTTGGTAAAAAAATTAGCTTTTTGATAAGCTGATAAACGTAAAAAAACTAAAAAAGGTATCTTCATAAAATTTAAATTAGTTTGTTTACATATTAAAATTTAACATTTTGTCTTTTAAAAAAATTAACATTTTAAAATAAAACTATTAGTATAATCATGATCTAGCATCTCATAATGAAGTAGCAATATTGTTGCAAATATAATAATAATAATAATAATAATAATAATAATAATAATAATAATAATAATAATAGTAATAATATTTGCCGTGAAAGTTGCGGATAAATGAAAAGAGAAAAAAAGTTTTAATTGAAAATGGTAAATTATGTCATTTCTTTAAAATAATAAGGATAAAGATGGAAAAAAACTTAGGAAGCTAGAAGCTTATTTTGAAACGCTACCTTAGGTAGCGTTCCAAAATAAGCTCTTATTTTAAATTAGGAGCTTATTTTGGGAACATTACCAAACAAAACTTATAGCTTATTAGTAGCTTAAAATAAGTTATAAGCTCCTAAATAAGCTCTGCCAAACAGAGCCTATGTCTACTCCTAGTATGCTACCCATGCGATGAATATTGGACAATATTATAATAATATTATTTATTAAAAAATACATAACCTAATATCAACATAGTTGCAATTCATATATATATATATACACACACACACACACACCATATGGTCTTGTGAAAATTAAATGTTATTAATACCAACATTTAATCATTAATATCAGCATTTAATTTTTACAAGACCATATAGTTTTATTATAATTAAGATTAAGATTTATATATTTAAAAATTAATTAAAAATATATTAAATACGAAAAATTAAATTAAAAATAATTAAAATTATTAAAGAAAATAAACAACGAATAAAGAATTGATTTGATCATAGTAAAATGAGATAGAGGGAGGATATTAATAGGAGGAGGGTAAAAAAGTAAATGCATCCAAAGGTGCTTCAAAATGACAAAACAGTCCACAAGAAGAGTTAAAATGCCAACGAGATCCCAACTAAAGATTTAAGACCAGAAAACCTTGAGAGCTCGAGGATTCGTTGGCTGTGGAAATGGAGTTAACCTGGTCCCTTGCGTGCTTTGCTTCTCGAAGCTTCGCTCCCCCGCTCTCCATCGTAGCATGTGCACCGCTTCGGTGGCGTTCGTCTTATCTCACCTCTCAATCCCCAGGTAAGCTGCCTGCTCATGCTTATTATTCATTATTGATGCTAATTCTCACTTCAGAAAAATTAAGTCCTCGGTTTTGTTAGCTTGAGTTTCTTCGCCTTAAATGATTACTAGGTAACATTTTTTCTGCATATTTCATATTGCTGGGACTATTATCTATTGACTGATATCAATTTGGGGGGCGTGTGCTGCTTTCCTGGTTTTACTCTCCTTGAATTTTAGTTAACTGAAGCCTTATTGATCGAACTGGAACTTAATACTGTTGGTTTACCTGTCAAATTTCTTGAATTTAATAATGTTGAGAGAAATTTTGAAGGCATTTTGGCTAACATTAATTTGTCTCTCTGGTGTTAGGTTCTTTCTTGTCAATGACAAGAATGAGATTGCAACCATCCCATCTTCAAGCTCTTGTTGCTGATACTTCTGCAATACCAGGTGATTCTGATAAAGAGCACATGCTATGTTCTGAAGAATCTAATCCTAGAACTGACCACAAAGCTGATGTGAAAGAGGAAGATGACAAAAATGATACTGTTGAAAGTGTGGATGAGAATAAGATGGTCCGAGTTTGTGACAAGTTAATTGGGGTCTTCATGGTTGACAAGCCTACTCCTGCTGATTGGAGAAGGTTAATAGGTTTTAGCAGGAATTGGAGCAATATCAGACCACACTTTTACAAGCGATGTCAGGAAAGAGCAAACACGGAGAGTGATCCTGGATTGAAACACAAACTACTCAGGCTTGGAAGGAAGCTGAAAGAGGTAATGCGTCTTGAGGCATATTTACCACTTGCATTTTTTGTGTTCTCTGATGAATAGCTTTAGAGATAGATTTGTGGTGAACCTCTGATTTTATAAGTCAAATATTATGTGCTAATGTGATTCACAGATGGGCACACTTGCAATGTTGGTCTTTTATCTTTATTTCTGTATACCCCTTAATATTATGGTTTATACACACACACACACTCTCTTGAAAAAAAAAAGTTAATAACTATATGTTTCTCTCTTCAGATTGACGATGATGTTCAAAGGCATAATGAACTTCTTGAGGTCATCAGGAGTTCACCTTCTGAAATCAACGAGATTGTTACTCGACGTCGTAAAGATTTTACTAAAGAGTTCTTCTTTCATGTTAACACTGTGGCGGAATCTTATTATGACAATCCAGATGAACAAAATGGTAAGCCATTTATACACTTCAATCTCATATGTATCTAATTGGACTCTCAAGTTAGAAACATTTTCCAGCTTCCAAATATATTTGTGTTTGGGGTATTATGTGCTGATAGTGTATTCATATACTTTATGGCATCTGATAGAAGATAGACCAAACTCATAGTATACACACCACACAAAATTCCATAATCTATTTTGAATTTGTTTTGGAGCAAATGAGATAATATGCACCTTGCTCTGCTTATATTTTTGTGTGTGGTCACCCTTGTGTATGTAATGTCATTGAGAGTTGTCTCGTACAACTGGTGGTGGTTTCAAACTAATTAGCTTTTCTCAAGAATTAAAGTATTATATAGTTTAACCAAAGTTTATCTTTAGTATAACTAGGAATTGTTAGTTGTTTGTGCTGAAGTGACCTTGGTTGATCTATCTGGGAAACTAATGAACATAGGGTTGTTAGTTTTTGTTACTACTTCTGCTTAGTCCTCCATATGAAGATTTTACTGAAAAATGTTTTTAGTTTTGCCTTGTTAGTTATTGTCACTACCTTTGACAATTTGTTCTTCATATTGAAGATTTTACTGAAAATGTGTTTTCATTTTGCCTTTTTGTAATTATAAGCGGTGGCAAGGATTGGTAATGAGTGCTTGGAAGCTGTAGAAGCCTACGATACTGCAACTGAAAGTATAGAGGCATTGAATGCAGCCGAGCTGAAACTGCAAGATATAGTCAATTCGCCTTCTTTGGATGCTGCTTGCAGGAAAATAGATGACCTAGCCCAGAAGAATCAATTTGACTCAGCATTGGCCCTCTTGATTACAAAAGCTTGGTCAGCAGCAAAGGAGTCTGACATGACACAGACTGAGGTAAGTTTAGCCTTTCCTGTTTACATTTTCATCATTTCATTTACACAAACACATAGAACACTTCAAATATGCACCAGATCAAGAAAGACAGTAGATAATGGCATTATTAATGACAGCAATATGCTTCATGCCACTGAGTGTTGGACAGGTTTTTAACATTAGGCCAAACTTGTCATTGATGCACTGGGTTTTAATGTTAGTGCTGGGCAGTGAAAAAAACTTATCTATAAAATTGCCATAACTGAAATGGGATCGAGATGATGGCTGTTGGAATATTAGAATTTAGAAGGAATCATATTAAAAATGATTGGAAAAAGTGTCAAATTGCCCCCCTAAGTCGAGTGGATAGTGCAATTGGGTCCTCTAAGTGAAAAAATCTCCATTCAAGTCCCCTAAACCGTTAAAATTATTCAATTAAGTCCAATTTGACTTGTTTATCAGGTTAAATCGATGTAGTGTTGACACGTGTCCTTTTTATTTTATTTTTTAAAACAAAATGTTTTTTATTTATTAAAAATTAGAAATAATTAATTATTATAAATAAATAAACTAAATTAAAAAAAAAAATTAAAAAAAGAGAACAGCCACCGGCTGTCCGCGCCGCACAGCCGGTGGCTGTTCTCTCTCTCTTTTTTTTTTTAATTGTTTAGTTTATTTATTTATTTATAATAAATAATATTTTTAATTTTTAATAAAAAAACATTTTGTTTTAAAAAATAAAATAAAAAGGACACGTGTCAACACCGTATCGAGTTAACCTGATAAAAAAGTCAAATGGGACTTAATTAAACAATTTTACCGGTTTAGGGGACTTGAATGAAGCTTTTTTCACTTAGGAGATCCAATTGCACTATCCACTTGACTTAGGGGGTCAATTTGACACTTTTTCCAAAATGATTTAGTTCAAATCAAGGTGCTAGTAATAGGTCTATTGTTGCATGCTCTAGTAAGAAAGAATGTGATAGATAGGAGAAAATGAGGCAGTGAAGATAATATCAATCATGTTGCAGAAATGCAGAATAACTAAAAATAAATAAATGTGTTTTGTAGATAGTCACCCCTTGTTGATATCACTACATCATCCTCACTGCCCTCACCCCCTTTTAAATGCATATATAAATAGATAATTATTTTCCTTTTAATTGTACCAGGCAAAAGATGTTTTGTATCATCTATATAAGAAAGCAGTAGGAAGTATGCAGAGCCTTATGCCCAAAGAAATTAGAATACTGAAGTACCTGCTTACAATTGAAGATCCAGATGAATGCATGCATGCTTTGAAAGATGCTTTCACACCTGGAGGTGAACTTGAAGGAAAAGATGTAGATTTGCTATATACGTATGTCTTCATCTCTTTTCTGATTACTCTTTTACCATGAAATTTAGATCTTTTAGAGAAATTGCCACAATTCTCTTTCAAATGGACTTAAATTTACTACTGAGTACTGAGCATGGCTACATAATTCGATTTGGTTTTTGGATGGGGTTTCAAGAATTTATCTATTGTACTCACTAAACTGAGTACATTATTAATGATCATTGCAGGACTCCGGAGCAGCTGCACAACTGGATTGGGATTATAGCTGATGCATATCACTTCAGCAGAGAAGGTACTCTCATTAGACAAGCTAGAGATTTAATGAACCCCAAAACAATCCAAAAACTGGAAGAGTTGAAGAAGTTGATTCAGGACAAGTTCATGTAAGAGAGAATTTTGTTTGGGACAGATAAATTATGCACTTCAGAAGTCTTTTAGTGATTTGTTGAATTGTGGTGCTGGAAGCCCAAAAGCACAAGTCTTGAAGCTCCACAATTATTGACTGCAATTTATCAAGCTTGGTAGGTCCATCAAAAAGAAAGAAAAAGGTAATTTCCAGCCCCCAGAACCATTTGACTCAAATCTTGATAGTTGATATAATTTTTTAATATCATATATATAATACAGGAATCAAATGTGGAAACGTAGGATCATAGTTATTAAGTTATTTTAATTTCATGTAGCTAGCCTAGTTGTTTGGAGCTGTAAGAAAAGCTATGTATAGCAGTCTTCTGTTTTGTTGTAGTGAACTGCAGAATTGGTGATTTCATACACTAAAATCTTCTATGAACCTCATACTCTTGCTTATATTTTGTGTCTTGTGATGATGCCATGAATTCGAGTCTCTTCAATGGATTGAATATTTTCTCTCTTAATTACAAAGCATTTAATTGTAATATACTTTTAAATAGAGTTTTTCTTATCAGTACATTATTTTTAATTATAAAACTAATCGATAATTAATTTTATGCATATTTAAAAAAAACATTTACAAATTCATTTGACTAGATAAAGTTTAGGGAGCTCATTTTCTGAAAATGATCCAAACACACCATGATAATTTTCTGGAATATAAAGAAATGAAAATATTTTATGAAAAATAACTCTTTTTTATAAAATATTTTTTTCGAAATTATTTTCTTGATTTTTAAACACACGCTTGGTAATAATTTGCATAAAAACTATAAATTTCTCTCTTTAGATTGACAAGATGTTCAGAGGCATAATGAATCTCTTAAAGTTATTAGGAGTTCATCTTCTAAAATCAACAAGATTGTTACTTGACTTCATAAATTTTTTACTAAAGAATTATTGTTTCATGTTTACGCTGGTGCTAGTAGCCTAGCAGAATCTAGCATCTAGAAGAACCAAATGGTAAGGCTTCAATCGCATTAATGTATCTAACTGGACTCTAAAGTTAGACACACCATCCATGTTTGATGTTTCACTGCCAACTAACATAATTAGGAAAAAACAAAACAAAAAGAAAAGCCGCCAAGGATAGGATGTTTCCTTGAAATTAACAACAAACACATGCAGGTTGGACCAATAATTGCACTAGCATACCAACGTACTTAGTACGTAAGACTAGCCCATCATATCGTAAGACAACCCTATTAGTGGATTTCAGTGGATTTTTGTCTTACTAAAAAATTACGGAGTATGTATTGAGTTTTTAACTAAAAGCATCTTTATCAGTAGAGATATTAAAGGGAGAAGGTAAGAGTGATTAGGAAAGAGAATGTGAGAGGAGGAGGAAAAAAAAAAAGCAAAAACTGATTTAATATATATATATAATTATAGTAGGCGCGCCCGCTGGGTGAACTCGTGACAGCCACGATTGGCTGTCACGTTTGGTTGCTTTTCTTACTGGGTCTCACCCTGCTGCCATGCTCCCAACTCTTGTAGATGCTTCTCAAATTTGCCTCTCCACTCCATCTCTCATTTACGTCACATTAAATATATTAAAAGTAATGCATTCTCCTCACTTGCTCTCTTAGTGTGGATGCTAATAGGAAAATATATTTTTTATGAGTTTTTCTTCTTGCAAATTTATTTTTTTGTGGGGTCTACCGTTGGAGAAAACAAATACAGCATGCAATTTTGTTCTGCGTGTTTGGTACACAAAATGTACATAGTACGCGTAACCAGCTCATTGTTTTTTTCCCTCCTTCCACTTCTCTCTTCTCCTATCTCTCCTATGTGGATATATATGAAAAAACCAACAAAAACTACATACTGCTGAGGTTGCTTTAAAAAGAAACGCATTCAACTTGTACTATGTTTTGAATTATGTAAGTTCATTCTCAAGTCAATCTATAAGTAGTAAATCAAATCAAATTAATTAAATTTTAAAATTCAACATCAAATTATCAGCATGCAATTTTGTTCTGCGTGTTTGGTACACAAAATGTACATAGTACGCGTAACCAGCTCATTGTTTTTTTCCCTCCTTCCACTTCTCTCTTCTCCTATCTCTCCTATGTGGATATATATGAAAAAACCAACAAAAACTACATACTGCTGAGGTTGCTTTAACAAGAAACGCATTCAACTTGTACTATGTTTTGAATTATGTAAGTTCATTCTCAAGTCAATCTATAAGTAGTAAATCAAATCAAATTAATTAAATTTTAAAATTCAACATCAAATTATAGTTCTATGAACTCGCTCCTAAGTTAGTTTATGAAAAGGTAGATCAAATCAATTTAATTTCGAGACTCAATATAAATTATACATGTCTAATACATACCATGTAAATAATATAAGTAAAATCTATATATCTAATAGTGTAAATTGACTTGGGTCAACATACATAGCAAGAGTGAATAGTAAGACGAGAGTAGCGAGACAATACATTTTACGTGAAAATCCGAAAGGGAAAAAACAACAAGTGTTTTTAAGTTGTGCTAGGCCGAAATTCACTATAACTGTTGAATAGTACATATACCAACCTACTCTACTTAGTGTTATTGAAATATAGAACGAATATAAGGGGGAAATTAATGTGGTCGAGAAACTAACTAAAGGTTCAACCCTATAAGGTCTGGAAGCTCCGATTGAAGTAGCGTACGTTGGGAAAGGCAAACTCTCTCTCACTAGGCATAGTGCCTCATTTACACTAAGTGGCAAAGGGAACATAATGATGGTAAATATTGACATAGTTGACGTGTCATCTATTGATTGAGCACTCAAATAGGTCACAACAAATGTAAGTTGTTGAGGGGACAACTTGTGAGGTGATGGCGGTGTCGACATATCTAAAAGGGTGGTCGCCGGTCGGGATGTATTCTGACACGGAGGTCATGAAGTCTTCTAATAGGAAGGTTAGGAAGTCTTCTAACATGGAGGTTAGAAAATCTCATAACGAGGACTCTAGGAGGTCAAGAAGTGCACATGTAGATCCTCCCGTCAGAAAATGCTCTTGTAAGCCTTTTAGAGGTCCGAAAGTGCACTTATAAACCATGTAGGGCAAGTAGCGTTGCCATATAACCCTATCACTATATAAAAAAAATGCTTAAATTACACATATTTTTTTTATTTGATGGCTCAATTGTATAATATAAAATGCAATTGACCTGACTACATAAAAATTATTAAAAACACAAATTCAATAACTTATTTGACACTTTTTATAATGTAGTATTATAAAGAAAAAAAAAACATTTTTAACAAGAAAAATGGAAAAAATATACAAAATAAAATAAAATAAAAGACGAGATTTTTATTTGATCAGGATTCCAAGGGCTTTAAGAAAACCTGCACTCAAGGTTAAAAATCATCTGCAAGACTGCAAAAGCAAAGCCAAGGAAACTCTAAGACATAGCGCCGCCGGAGCTCCGGTCACCGGGAGGCACTACAAACTCGCCGCCTTAAAAGCGACCATAGATTCCCAATTACATTCACACGTAATAAGCCCTAAATTGGCTTCCTTGTCATTGACGCTTCAAAAATTGAATCGGATTACTTTCAAATTGTGTTACATGCACCATCAATCTCGATAAGTTTAATTTTCCTGTTAAATTATCATTTGTTCCATTCATACAATTACTCTCCAGTCAAATATCATGCTAAATTCCAAAAGTCTCTTTGTTTAGCTTCACAGTTTCTCTTTTTCGTTTTCCGTGAATGTTTCAATTCCAAGGTTATTGTGTGTTTCACCTCACAAGTTGGCCTGTGGTCTTAATTCTGGGCCATAGCTAGTGTTTTAAATTTTCCCAAATGCTGACTAATTGTTATGCCTACATTTTACGTGAATTTTCATTGCGTGGTATGGTTATACTAGTTTGAGCTCCTGGTTTTCTCAAAATTGATCAAAGGTTGAAAATTTTTATGATACATTTGTGAACTCAGGCTTGCTAAGAGCCAGTTTAATGATTGATGATGTGTGCTGTGGTTTTTGAAATCTAGCTTATAGTGGATGAATATACCAGGGATGAGGAAGAAAACCATAGGTGTGAGTGAATGAATGTTCAGATGATGACGAGGAAAGCAAATGTCTGTGGAATATGTGAGAACCCAAATCTCCCTTCTATTTGCCCTGTCTGTGTTAATTACAGGTAAGAGCAGTGGGATATTAAATGGGATTATTTAATGTCCGTGATTTATGGTCCTACTGAAACTGAGTTTAAACTGTTGGAATGCAATTTATGTGCAGATTGAACGAGTATGGTACGACTTTGAAATCGTTGAAGAGTCGGAGGGATGCATTATATGCAAGATTGAGTGAAGTGCTTGTTGCTAAGGTGTGTTTAGTTCAGGATAATGAGCTTGTGTTATGACAGATTTCTGCTGTATTGGTTGTTTGCTACATTTTTAACACCTATAACTCTATAAGGTTCATGTGTTGAACTAATTTTCAATTCCTCTGCATTTCTCTACCATTGTTATCAGTCTTAAGTATCTATAAACTTGAATTCCAACATAACATTGGTTTGATAATCTATCTCATTATTATTAGTTTATTACAATGGGAATTATATATGTAAATTAATCACTAGAAGGATTATGTTTGTTGCTTGGTATTGAGATGGGGAAAATGGAAGAAAAAGATTTTTCAGTTGAGCCCAAGAGGACATACAGTCTCCAAGGAACCAGTTCCCATTTAATTGCAACTCATGCTAAAAAAATTGATGCCATCATTTTCATGGTTAATACACCCCTTTACCCTCATGCTCAGTTGAGCTCAGTCAATTCATGGACTGGGAAATGTTTTCTGTGGAGGGTGAGATGAAGTTAAAGGAGTGGGAAGAGTACTAATTTAAGAAATTTAATTTTGATTTGATGAATGGATTTGTGTAGAGTGCTTGCTAAAACTCATAATGGCTTATTAATGTCATGTACCATTACTAACACAAATGCAGAAAAGATGGGTCATTCATATATTAGACTTTAAGCTCTTGGCTACTTTCCCCTGTGCCAAAATTTGCCATTGTGAAACTGTGGTTGCATAAAGTATGATAAACTAATAACTTGAATTTTATGAATTTTTGACTTTTGTAAGTGAACATTTTAAATATGCTCATAAATGAGATGCTTGTGTTAAAGAACTGGATTGGATTGTAATTTGTATGTATTTGGTCTGGTCTTGTATTATTATTATTATTATTTTTTTTAATCCCATGATTTCTTAAAACTGTCTTAATTTTATCTAATTATTTAAAAAAAAAAAAACTCTCTTTTGATCTCATGTCCTTTTGTTATCTGGGAGTGTATTTGTAACTGATATGTTTCTTTACTTTAGTTCAGTTTTCTAGATTGTTCAGTTTCACTCTAGTCTTTATTCTCATCAGGGCAAGGCTGATGATCAACTGAGTTGGCGGGTGCTCCAAAATGAGAAGCTTGCAAGATTAAGGGAGGATCTCAGACAACGTAGAGAACAACTTTTGGAAGGTTAGTTGTCCTTTCCAAATAATGTTTATCTTGAATAGCAAACTGATTGCTGACTGATTGTTGTGTTTACAGGGAAGACTAATATTGACAAGTTGTCTAATGATCTAAAAGAGAAGTACAATTTGGTTGAATCAGCCATGAGCGTGGTAAAATGCTGTATATTTTACTGTATTTATCATTAATAATTGAATTTAATGTGGAATTCTAATGAAAATGTTTCTCTTGGGAATGGCATTGCAGCTGGAAAAGAATCGTGCAGAACAACTTGAGAAGTTCTTTCCTAATCTTATCTGCACTCAAAATCTTGGTCATGTGAGATAACAATTCTACTAAATGAGTATGTGATCATGCCTGTTTTTTTCTCTTCTTGGTATTTATTGCTTGAATATCCTTGCTACAGATGGCCATCACCTCTGAACTCCTTCATAAACAGTCTGTTGTTATTAAGCAGATATGCAAGCTGTTTCCTCAACGCCGGGTAGGTTTTAGGCAATTAAATGTACAGAATATCATGCTCTATGCTATTTGTAGTGGTGTATTTATTTCAATGATGATGTGAATTTCTTTTGAAACAAGTTTCTTGGTATTGGCAATTGTGAGACTTGGCTACTACTCTAAAACTATAATAATTTGGGAATTTTTGATTGCTGTTTCTCATCTTTACTAGTAACTTTTGGTGGGTTGATGTGGCTCTAAGATTTACTATATTAACTTTTTCGATACTTTTACTTAATAGGTGCGTCATAATTCATGAATAACTCCTTCCTCTGCATGTGGACACAATTCCAAATAATTCATGCTAGTTTTGGAGTTGTAGATTTGATTCATTAGGAGAGTAATGATGTTCTACTTTCTTTGCTACCTCTTGTCTGTACTCTGTAGTGAATATTCGAGTGATAGAAAAGCAGTATTTCTTATTTTGATGGTGTATTTCATAACTAAATATAAGTTGGAAAAGATCTATATTTGGGTATGGTGTTTCTTTGTAATTGGGCATCTGAATCAACTAATTCAAAGTCTTAACCCACTTAATATTACAGGTTACTGTAGATTCTGAAAGAAAAGATGGATCTAATGGTCAATATGATACTATTTGTAATGCACGCTTGCCGAGAGGACTTGATCCCCATTCTGTTCCATCTGATGAGCTTGCTGCGTCTCTGGGGTAATCTTCTTTACAGCCTTTACATATGCAATTTCTACGGTTGCTTCCCCACTTGGTCTTCAAGCTGTTTGTTTATCTCACTTACCTTTGCCGCATGAAAAAGTCCTAACTTTGGATATCTATGTCAATTTGTTTTACCTGCTGCATTCTGGTTTTCGTCTTTCTACTCTCTTCCTTACAACTATGCTAATTTTTGGACTGGTGAGTTGGAGCTTAGGCATGAAACCAAGTGTGTTTAGTATAAAGCGACTGAATTAATCTTATGATTTTACGCAATGTTTTTCACATCTATTTGCATTTTCATGTTAGTATTTTGCAAAATTTGAGTTTATGCTACATCAAACATTAATTACTCAGCTGAATGAAGATTAATCTTGTGCACGTTACAACCACGTGTATCTTAAAATATTCCAGTCCAAAATACTTTCCTTGGTGAGTTGGTGTTTATTTGTTTATTTGGTGGGTGGGTGCCTCAGCCCAGGGGGTAGAGGAGAGGGGGGGGGGGGGGGGATATTGCTCGTAGTTGTTTAGGTAGGTTGCTATATTCACATCAAAATCAAGTGACCCTGAAAACACCATCGTATGTACTTGTGTTATCAGTTTCACCTTGTTTTAAATGATGGGTTTTACTAATAAGCAATATCTCATGTTTCAAGCAGATACATGGTGCAACTGTTGAATCTTATTGTTCGTAATGTATGTGCTCCTGCACTTCATAACTCAGGATTTGCGGTAAGTTTCCAGTCTTTGAGACTTTTGTAACACCAATGTCTTTGCAGCTTTGTTGGTGAAATACAGCAACTTTGTGTTCTTGTATCAGGGTTCATGTTCTCGAATATGGCAGCGAGATTCTTATTGGGATGCACGCCCATCGTCTAGAAGGTTTCCAGTTATACAACAAATTTTACTCTGTTCATTTGCCTATTTACTTACCTTATTTCATGTGCTGCAGTGGTGAATACCCTCTTTTTATTCCTCGCCAAAATTTTTGCTCTACTGGTGGAGAAACTTCGTGGTCTGAAAAAAGCTCAAGTAACTTTGGTGTGGCTTCTATGGAGTCTGATAGGAAGGCTCGCTTGGATTCTTCTGGTAGCAGCAGTTTCAATTATTCTTCTGCTTCACCACACTCACTTGAAACACACAAGGAGTTACAGAAAGGGATAGCACTTCTCAAGAAAAGTGTTGCTTGCGCAACAACATACTGTTATAACATATTATGCCTAGACGTTCCTGCAGAGGCTTCTACTTTTGAAGCATTTGCAAGGTTGTTGACTACCCTTTCTTCTTCCAAGGAAGTCCGATCTGTATTTTCTTTAAAAATGGCTTGTTCAGGGTATAATCTCCTTTTCAACTATCTTTGTTTTGTGTTTACAATAAAGGGCTTGTGGATATTGTCCTGAGAATGAAATTGATTTCTTATGCAGGTCATCCAAGCAAGTCCAACAATTCAGCAGATCTGTGTGGGATGTAAATTCATTAGTTTCCTCAAGTGCTATGATAGAAAGTGTGCATGCGTTGCAAGCACAAGTAAGTAGCAAAAATCTGTTTTGTGCATTTTTTTAAAGTTAGTCTAAGTTGCACACTTATCTAATTCTATTCAATTAGTTGAAGTTGTTTCTGTTTTCAAGTTCTGATTTATTGGATGTGGTAGTTTTTTCTGGTTCTTTGCTGTATGAAAAAAATGAACTCATCTTGAATATTCTTGATCATCATAGGCACCCAAAAATCACAAGTGGAGAACTACACATTAGATTTCTCGTGCTCTCGTCATCTATGAACACACAAGTTTAACACAAGGATTTGACCTTAGCATAGAATTCATTTTAAGGATTATGTACATTTAGTACTTTAGGTAGTTCGGTCTTTTTTTGAGTAATTTTTGGACCAACATGGTTTTGAACAATCCTATGCCCTGCCATTACAATTTGCTTGGCAAACTATCTCACTGCAGGTTAAATAAAATATATTGCAGTTAATAACGTGTTCTCTCTCTAACCTTGCAGAGAAACATATTTGACCATAATCTTCCAAGTTCTACAGCCAGTTTGCTTTACGCCAATGAAATATCCGACCTAGGAAGGAATGAAAATTTAATCGAGGGTTGGGATCTAATCGAGCACCCCACTTTTCCTCCTCCGCCTTCACAAACCGAAGATGTTGAGCATTGGACTCGGGCCATGTTCATTGATGCAACGAAAAAGTGACTTCATAGCTTCATCGCTGACTGCCCTTCAATTCCTGTAAATACAAGTAGTCCAGTGCACATAGAAGAAGCCGCATATCTCCTTCCGTGCATTAAATGTATCCTAGTATTCAGTTTCTTTATGCTTTGGTTTTTCTCTCTGTGATTTACAATGTTGAACAGGAAAATGTATATTTGTCTGTGTTTCCCGTTCAAGACTGAAGAAATCCTTTTATAATTGCTTTTGACATATATTTTATTACAAAACTAAAAGTGGGGAGGCCCTGAATATAAGTCTTGTGAATGAAGTAATTACGAGAAGTAGCAATTGAAGTATTGAACAAGTAGTAGTGCTTTATAGGAGTGATTAAAAGTGAGATGATTGTTTGCTCAATTGGCTTAAAAGCCAATTTAAGCCTCAGAGGTTCTCTAAACACACTCTTCAAATGAAAAATCTAAACACAAACATCTTTCATAGTTGTCACATTATGAGCTTAAAGCCTTGAGAATTAGTCATGCTGCTACTTCACTTCACTTCTTTCTCTTCTTTGGGGGCTGGAGAGCCTCCTCTTCGTCTTCATCATCTTCGTCCTCGTTCTCCTCCTCATCCTCGTGCTCCTGTTCCACAGCTTCCTCCTCCCCGTCTTCGCCCTCGTCCTCATCATCATTATCTTCATCATCTTCATTGTCACCATCGTCGTTGTTGTGTCCTTCGCCTTCACCATCATCCCCATCTTCCTCTTCTCCATTCTCCCCGCTCTCGCCTCCCTCCCCACCCGGGCTGCTCTTTCCGTTCTCATTGTTCACCTGAGCTTCTCCATCGGAGAATTCACCCTCACCATCGGCAAATTCACCACTCCCATTCTCATCGCCATCCTCTCCCTCCGCGTCAACCACTTTGGACTGGCTGTTCATGCTATGATCTCCTTTCCCCTTGGCTTCCCTTGTCGACCTCATTAGGTCCTGAAAAATCATTACATCTTTATTTAACTTATCACTAAGATGTATTTAACTTATTGTACTGATATCTGTATCTCGTAAGATAGTTATAACTCAAACATAGTTAACCACACCAACCGTCGTTAAACAAAGTAAAAGAAATCGTTAGTACACCAGTTATCACCACCAAGGTGGTGTTTGTGGGATCCAGTCCCAAAAAAAAAAAAAAAAACATTATCCAGTTTGTCCGCATGATACAAAGTAGTTATTGGAATGAGATTCTCCAACAACCCAGATACTGTTTTAAATCTTGGAGATTGATTGGTGATTAACACCATGTTAATCATTTTCTTAATCAAAGATTAAGCTCGTTCTCTACTTTATGGTGTACGTTATAATAATGGAATCTAACAATTGATTAGTAATTAACTAATTAATCAAAACGTAAAGACGAAGTTTCAACTCCTCGTCATATTCGGTGATAGTGGCAGTGTATATTATTCCTGGCGGGGGCCCACCATTCCGACCAACCCGGAACCATATGCGCATAAAAATCCAAATTTATTTTCGTTTTGAGTTCCGAGGAGGGTAAACCCATGAGGCGTACGTTAGCTCAGGGACCAAATAATACATCATCTTCTTCCCCCACCAAAATAATAATACATCATCAAAAAGTACCTCTGATGAGCTAAAAATTAACGTCAATTTATTTTTAAAAAAACATTTAAAACCAAAAAAGGTAAATTTATAAATATCCAAACACGAAAAAGCAATTTTCCATAAGTAACAAAAAAGACAACAAATTTTAGACATAAATTATAACCTTAATCAAATATAGAAATAAAATTTTAATTTTAATATAATTCTTAATTCTTAATAACAAAAAAAAAAAGTTTTAGGAATTTTTTATAATCGTTATAATCGAGCAACCTTAATATATAAAGTAAGATCTTTAAGTTTAAGTCCGATTCTCATCAGTTCCATAAAATAAATAAACAAATAAAAGAATACAAAAGAATTTGAAGTGAGATTTAAGCACGGTGGAAGGAGGCTTACTTGAAGCGAGTAAAGGGGGCGAGCGTTGACCGCGAAAAATGAGCTAAGGAGACAAGGGCGAGAGTGAGCGGCGCACGTTAGCAAATCATGGTTAACCATCACTTCCATATCTGTACGGTCCCGACACCTACCATCATCAAACACAGATTTGACCGTTAATTCACCTCCGACTCTCCGAGTCCACGTAGAACAAATTTACCATTACATTATCCAGAACATCATTAACACTTCATATCCAAACAAAAACCTTAAAAATTTTCTCAGTTTTTTTTTTTAAATAATCTAAAACTGCTGAAAAAGGTTCTGAGATCTGATAAAAATTAACCAAAAAAGACAGAGGAAAATATATAAAATAAATAAAATAAAATGAAATGTATACAGAGAAAGAAAGAGAGAGAAAGGTGAGTCTGCAAAAGGAGAAGTTTTCTAGTAAAAGAAAATACGAGGAAGACAGGAGAAAGGAGCAGTTGGAAAAACCAAATTAAGACCGTGTTTGGGAAGACAGAGAGACAGCGAAAGTGAAAAGGAAAGCGAGAGAAATTGAGAGAGAGAGAGAGAGAGAGAGAGAGGAGACGAACCTGTTGCAGGCGGAGATGAGAAGGAAGAAAGCGGAGAAAACAAAATTTTGAAGATCAGAGAAGAGAGGAGAGGAGAGGGGATAATGGAAGGAGGTTTTCAGGTTTCTGCTTTGCAGACGTACTGGTTTTGGTATTGAATCAAGGGTGTTGCAACCCCTCACCCATTCTTGGCCGTCGGATCATAATCTCAAAGAATACAATACCGAATCTAATACTTTGTTCCTACTGCCGCTAGCTGCTTGTAGTTGGGAGTTGGGACTAAGAAAATTAAAAAAAAAAAAAAAAGTACGAAGTCGTTGCTAGAGTTGACCAACTATGTCCCTGCCCCACCCTCCAAAATATATACATATGAATAATTTTACCCTACCCATATTTTATTGTATCTAATATAGTCACCGCACCGTCGTAGGGATGACAATATGCTCCGTCCCCGTTGGGGATCCCCGCCCCCGTTGAGGACGGGGACGGGGACGGGAAAAAAATTCGGGGATCGGGGGACGGGAACGGGGAGTTTGTGAAATTCCCCGGCGGGGACGGGGATACCCTTCCCCGCTCCATCCCGTCCCGTCCTCGAATAATATATATATATATATATATATATATATATATATATATATATATATATATATATAGTTTTAGGAATGAGAAATTAGAAATTAGATATAGATTATTAGAATTTGTTTTTGTTTGTGGCTAATACAGTGTACTGTTGATTTAAACATAATTAGTTAATTACATAAAACACTGTTGTATACTGTGTATATTGAATATTACATAGAATATAATGTATGTAATTAAACATAATTGTATAAAGCATTGTGTACTGTGTATATATATTGAATATTATATAGAATATATGTATTTAAATTCTGAACATAATTACATAAGCATTGCTATACTAATACTGTGTATATATTCAAATATATTATATATTATATTGAATATTGAATGTTGAATTTTTTTTATAGATTTTATTTTTTTTTAAATTGTACTATGGGTTGATCAGGGATGGGGATTCCCCGTCCCCGCCAAATTTCCCGTGGGGACGGGGACGGGGAATTTTTTCAAATTCCCGCCGGGGATGGGGACGGGGAGTATACTTCCCGCCCCCGCCCTGCCCCGTTGCCATCCCTACACCGTCGGCAGATAATTAGAATTATAAAAAGATGTTTATAAAGCAACTCAGGTGATAGATTATGAACAATAACACATAAGGAAAATCAAAGAATCTTATTGGGAAAGTGACACTTAACGTGCATGACGGGTTTTTTTTGTAGTTGAAAGACATTAGTCATTCCACTTAGAGGTTGCTGAATTATCTTGATTTCCTTCTTCATTATCCTATCAGTTTGGGGATAAAACTCATAAAAGTCCTTCGAAGAGGGATTTTACCTTTAATGAATAAAAGTTATACAAAGATCGACAATTAATACTTGTTCATAGAATATTCAATATTTCAGCCATTAATATAATCTAGCTAGTAATTACAAGGTTCTAAAATTGACTTATTGTGAAAGTTACATTATTTATTGGTTTTTTTTTTTTTTTTTTTTTTTTTTAAGTTGGTAACTTATAAACAATCTAAACTAGTTTATTACTTTTTATATATAATCTTTTATTGATTAAGATTACAAAATGTGTTTTATCCGGAATGCATATTTAGATATGATATGGCAAGCAAGTTTTGTGTACATCAAAGATATGATGATATCATAATTGTAATATAAGAGAAAAGGAAAGCTTATAGAGGAGAATCATTTTGGATTTTAATGTGGTATATATATCTGACGTTAACCATGGTTAGTAGATTCCCCCATCCAGTCTATATATCTCTTTTGTCAGAACGAACGCTGTGTTTGGCAAACAATAATATCCATTTTCTCGATTTTGATACCATCCAAAACCCAAACACAAACTAAAATATATGCTTACTAGGTTGCATGAACAAACATGCACATGGCCTGGTGCGGAATAATTTATACAATTGTCAGAATGAAGTTTAATTCCAGATAACTATGATGCATGAAAATCCCATTGATTATGGGATAAATCTTTTTAATTTATATATTAAAGTTTCATCACTTACTTTATTATAATAATAAATTAATTCATTACTTAAATAATAGATATTTTAACTTTCGACTAGATGGGTAAGAATAATCTTATGAAATAACCTAATTAACTTCTTGATCTTGTAATAGATCCATCCTTGCACCGACTTTGTAGTTTGTTTCTCTTCTGAATGTATAAGAATAGTATTATTTGACCCGCACGAATTTAGCGCATTGGTTCAGTAGTCAGTATTTGATAAATTGTGTTGTGCATCCGTGTACACCATGCAATGCAAAAACGACGTCGTTTTGACTAAAAACACGCATCCCACTTAAAAAAAATAAAATAAAATTCAGTTTCGATTCCCAGCAACAGCATTATGTTGTTCATTCATTCTAGATTTTTAGTTCATTCATTCTGGATTTTTAGTTATGAAATTATGGATGTGTAGTTATGCAATTCTTGATCTAGATTTATAGTTATGAAGTTATGGATGTGTATGATACAACCCTGAGGTTGTATGGATTGCTCTTCTTCGAGTCGAGCCAAACTCCATGGTTGTGCTTCGAGTGACAGCCGAACTCCCATGACTATACTTCGAGTGATAGTCTAACTCTCAAAATGTCTCCAGACATTCATAAATATATTCTTCATTGATATTCTCCAAATACACATGTAGCTATTTATACTGATAACAAAACTACCCACCACCCCTTTAACTATCCACTACCCCATTACTTGTATAACTACCTATTACATGCCTAAAATAGTGGTTATCCCACTATACAACAACAACAACAACAACAACAACAACAACAACAACAACAACAACAATAATAATAATAATAATAATAATAATAATAATAATAATAATAATAATAACTCCAGCAACATCATGGGTGTATCAGTGTAATTATGCATGGTGTAGTTATGCAATTCTAGATTTATAGTTATGAAGTTATGGATGTATAGTTATGCAATTCTGGATGTGTAGTTATGCAATTCTAGATTTATAGTTATGAAGTTATGGATGTATAGTTATGCAATTCTGGATGTGTAGTTATGAAGTTATGGATGTGTAGTTATGCAATTCTGGATTTATAGTTATGAAGTTATGGATGTGTAGTTATACAATACTGGATGTATAGTTATGAAGTTATAAATGTGTAGTTATGCATGCAATTCTGGATTTATAGTTATGAAGTTATGGATATATAGTTATGCAATTCTGGATGTATAGTTATGAAGTTATGGATGTGTAGTTATGCAATTCTGGATGTATAGTTATGAAGTTATGTATTTTTTTTTTAAGTCAATATCAAAACGACGTTGTTTTTGCATCCGTGTGCACCATGCATGATGCACACGGATGCAGAGCATAACACTCCTCAGTATTTGGGAAAAGGAAAAGAATAATGTTATATTTGTATACTTTAATGCTAATTTGACTTGACTCTAATTATATGACCAGACCGATGCGATATACTATTCAATACCTACCATTTCAAGGATATAAATATAAATACAAACAAAACAAATTACTTTATATAAAAGAATGTAAAATTTTAAATTTTATAAATAATATTGTCATTCAAAAATAATAATAATAATGTTCATCAGTTGATCTGCAATTTTGCACAATGACTCTTCATAGTTCACAAAGAAAAATTCTATTTCTGGGCTGGAATTTGAACAAGTGCTAAAATACTAGGGCTTTGTGGGCTAAATAACGGACTGGAATAATTCTTTAGATAAATGGGCTTTGTTGATTAGGCCTAACTAAATTAGAAACCTAGCAAGTTGGGCCTGCATATTGTATTTAATGATAGGAGACTAGGAGAGAGTAGTCTTAGTCTAACATGGTAGGTATTATATTTTTATTTGTTTTACTAATTCAAATGGTTAAGCAGAGACCTGAAGAATTATGTCTAAGATCCTATCATCATAAAATTGTTATATAAGTATAAGGGAATATAACAGATAGAAAAAATATAGAACATATACTACCTTGTAATAGAGTTAATAGTACTAAAAAAAAGTATAAGGGAATAACGTTGCACATTTGCTATCAGGGACGGAGCCAGAAATTCGATTGAGGGGGGGCGAAACAGTACAGACGTCAGACGGATTCAGAAAATTTTTCCAGTAAAGGCGAAACATTAAAACAAAAGAGATAATTTAAAAGAAAATAAATAAATTACTTAAAAATATAGTCGTAAATATTGTAAGATATGGACGAAAAATAAAACACATCGAAACTTTATAAAAATATTCATTACAGAATATGAAACATAATTAATTTGATAAAATAATTTGAATAGAAAACACAACATAAATTACATATCTCATTATTAATATAAAAGAATGTTATATATATATATATATATATATATATATATATATATATATATTTGTGTGTGTGTTTAAAGAAGCTATTAAAAACGTGATTGTTTGAAGTCATATGGCAATGAGTAAAAAGAATTGTAAAACACATCGAAACTTTATAAAAATATTCATTACAGAATATGAAACATAATTAATTTGATAAAATAATTTGAATAGAAAACACAACATAAATTACATATCTCATTATTAATATAAAAGAATGTTATATATATATATATATATATATATATATATATATATATATATATATATTTGTGTGTGTGTGTTTAAAGAAGCTATTAAAAACGTGATTGTTTGAAGTCATATGGCAATGAGTAAAAAGAATTGTAAAACTACATGTTAATGCAAAGATTTGAATCCTTAACCTCACCATTGCCAAATATGTGCTTGACCACCTAATCTAATTCACTTCTTGTTAATATTTTATAGTTTTTATATACTAATACTAAAACATGTACTATATATACATATATACATACAAAGACTATATATGGGGCGGGGGTGAGGTGACGGGGCAGTCGCCCCCCTGCCCCCCTTTGGGTCCGTCCCTATTTGCTATTAAGTATTAACTATAACTTTTGACATAGTAATAATTACTTAATTTGACAATTGGTATTAAATATTGTTGTTCCCTATTAGTATTAAATATTGAGAAAGATATTATTAGGTGTAGTTATAAATGTTTGATTATAATATAAAGTTTTGACTCTCGACATTTCAAGAATGAAGAGTCAATTATTGCATCTAAGAGCATC